CAGCAGGGGGTGATGTTGTAATTCAGATAGAGGGTTTCGGGTGTTTCGGTTATTATCAGCATACAACTGAGAACTAATGTGTGTTTAGACTGAGTCAGGGGACCAGATGCATAAATCTGACTGCATCCTGGATCACTGTCATCAGGTGACACCACCGTGTGGTTTGTAGCTCAGCATGATGATTTGTAGTAGTGATCTTTACCAAAATGGCAAGAAATTTGAATCCATTTAACTAAAATGCCTTGCAGCCATGCGGTTTTCTTTTCTCCAGGCTTTAATTAAATGGTTATGCTTATTATTCTGTTGTCTTTTTTATTATGTTAAAAGTGCGAAATCACTTGGAGGGATTTTTTTGAATGCCAAAAACATAATCCTGCAATATATGTAAATAGATTTAACAGATGGAGGACTTTAAACAGTAATGTTTACATCGGATACTTGGGTATTATTTGGGGATTTCCCTGTAATTTAATGGTTCATATGCACTAATAATTCAACTAATGGAAATAATTTCCTCAAAACTGTACCTTTTAATCATTATATTATTTTAATGATTACAAATATATATGTATCTGTTTAAATAATTACATGCATTATGGTTTTCATCTTTACATCATTGTTTTGTCATACTTTTTAAAACATGCATAGCGATCAAATCAGCAGTATTACAGGTCGAAGCATTTGTTTTCATGTTGTATTCATATCATCTGTAGTCTATCACTGAATGGAGCTATATTATTAGATATCATGTTAATTGAATTACAGCTCAGTTTTGCTCCGTGTCTTAACAAACATATATACACAAATGCAGGTAAACAGTTCTCAGTCTCATATTTCAAACTCGTGGGTCAGCTCGCTGTCACACAGGGCTCTGCCGGGCCATCTGTCAAGAACTCAATAAATTTGTCAGTGGAAAAGAAGAAGAAAAAAAAGAGCTGAATCCAATAAATCATAACATAAACAAATCTAGCCATGGGTTGACAGTGCTGTATTATACTTTGGCTAAATCCCGGGGGAGTCGGGATTATCCTGCAGTATCATTTTTTTCTGCCATGTGGTTCAGGCGGATACAAGCAGAAATATGTGTCTGAGTGGGAAGAAGGGGATGTGATGAAAAAAAAACGACACTGTTTATCTTGTGTGCATCTGCGAATTTAAGCAAACTCAAATGAATAAATAATGCTTGTAGGAAAATCAGATGGACTCCATTTGTGACTTGAATTAAAAATCCAAACCAGTTGTTTTATGCTACTTTAGTATTCCGGGGCCCTTAGGCCTGAGGGCCCTGCATCTCATCCCCTGTTTGTTATTACAGCAGTGCACCACAGACTGTTTGCCTGTGTGAAATCACAGGGTAACAATATTCACTACTTAAGGCAAGAAGGCGACTAAAAGAAAAAGGGAGAAAACGTAAAAGTTTCGAAAGAAAAATAAACCGGTCAAATTACAATTGATTCTTTGCAAATTGCCGAAGTGCAAACCTTCAGTGAGCGTCACTGCTGATCCACGGCCGGTCAGCGGCTCCGTTGACTCCACGCGCTCTGCCCTTGGAAACCTTTTCACAGCCACAGTAATGATTTCACTCAAACGTCCATGTATGCGGGCTGAACGAAGAAGGACGAACAGCACCCCCCCCCCCCCCCCCCCCGGTTCCTTAAATGCGTTAAGCATGAGAAACGCTGCTGCTGCTGCTGCTGCTGCTGCTGCTGCTGCTGCTGCTGCTGCTGCACATCAGTGTCAGTCTGTTTTTAAGATGCTCAAGTGCAACTTGGCAAACAAATGAAAGGAGCCTGTTCTCTTTTTTTCTTTCATTCGAGCTTTTTTTGTAAAAAAAAAAAAAAAAAACAAGCATCATGGAGAGCTTAGAAACACTCATTAAAAGATCAAAGTGAATTAACTATAAAAGTCCTCTAACCATGCGATTTAGGGAGTCATCATATCTTTGGTTTGCTGAGTTTTTCCTTTGAGGATTTTAACTGTTCTTCCCATTTCCACTCAGGTATTTTATTTTAAAAAGGCTTATCTTTGCGCGTTGTTTTTGGGCATAATTGATGTGCTCTCATTTCAGTTGAAGTACAAAAACAAACGATAATGACATAAATGCAGCTTTTATTACAGTCCACATATTCATATTTTAATAAGTTTAAGTTTTAATAAGCTTTAAGTTGAGGATTACTATTTCCTGTGATTTTTGCAACACGTTGATTGTAGCCTACGGGCGGGTTTGAGGCCTGACTCAGTGTGAGATGCGTGAGTTATTCGCAGGGTTGGAAAATGAATGGATCCTGCGTGGCTTATAAACAGCGTGATGTTAATGTAATTAAAGTAGACAATGGTCGATATGTTTACACATATATTTAGATTTGATGGAAGCGTTTCTGTGGATTAGATTCAAATGTAACGAAGTCATGAAACTATTTGCTGCGTTTAATGTATCAAGTGTCACTTTTGTTCCATTTTGGTAATTATTCATCTTTTCAGAACAGGCCTACACTCATTTATAAAGACACATGATTTTAAATAGGCGTAATACTGATGAATGCACGGTGGTAGATTTATTTTTCGTATTTTTGCGCACTTTCACCCAAACTTTCTGTCTCCCCTATTATAAAAAACGACAATTTTACAGACAAAACTGTTCGTATGTTTCCGCAATTTTTTTAAACTCTCTCCCTCAACCATTTAAATAGAATATCATATTTTGTTGGCTTTTTTCCTGAAATCATATTGCTCTTCTTCTGCATTCAAACCTAATTTATTTTCATATTAAGAGTCATTACACACTCACCGTGAAAACTGATCGAAATCACAGCAGCCTGCAGGAATGTGCACTATAATGGCGCATTATAATGGTCTCTTACCTTTCCGATGGATGCAACAGTTCTGGTTACTTTAAAGAAAATTGCTTAACTTAAGGAGACCATTGCTTTCTGTACTGCACACCTGCTGCAACGGGTTTTTTTCTTCTTCTTCTTCTTCCTGCCTTATAGCGGCAGGCGAGGGAGGGCTCCTCACGTAGAGGCTCATTAAAACACCGCCGGCTAAAAGTTGGCGGATTGATTTATTGAATGAATGTTTGATGTCCTCATACACACAAGTGACCTGGCCGATAGGCTAACTGCTGAATGGACACAGGGGGAGGGGGGCGTTACACGTGATATATTAGCCTATATGTTTTAAAAAAATGTATTGATTGTATTGTATAGTGCTCAGCTCGTAATGCTTCTTAGTGGTAAGATAATCCAATTTTGTGTGAGGCGGAGGTAATTGACCCCATGCTGATAGAAGTGCCTCAAATAGAAGAAAACAAAAACAGCTAAGCCAGCCAGGGGTGGATGACTTCATGACTGGCAGGTATACTGATTCTGATTTTAACAGAGTAAGTGTACTACACGTGTCCGTAACTAAAAAAATATAGAATCAGTATTCATATCATATTTGTTTGAGTTTTAAATGTCCCTGCGGTATGATTCAAAAACTGTGACAATAGGTGAAAATACTCATTTCTTGTCTGTGTTCTGCTCCTCTGAATCTGTTAGAGACCTTCAGCTGTTCTCCCAGTGGACGGCAGAGGGCAACGCCAACAGTCCGCTCTCTGTTTCTAAACTGGGCTACAGGTCATCGCCTCCATGCTCCCCAAAAGACATCAAACACAGCAGCTCGGCCTTTGGATGGGAGGTAAACGCTGCGCATGAGATGTGCAGAAAAATGTCTTTCCTTCTTTTATTCCTTTCAATATAATAAGTAATTGGAAATATAGGAGAGATTTATTTCCTGAAGATTATCTCAATGTATTGTTATAATAAATATTATTACCACCGTTGCTGTCGTGTCTGTCATACTCTCTTCATGTCTTCATTGTGTATAATTAAGCAGCAGGTAGTTATGTTTTATTAAGATTAAAATGAAGGCTGCCACGAGCTTATCTGATCATAGCTATACAGCAACACTGCTTTATAATACGGTTCTTTAAGACGTGTGTCCCATGTGTCCGGTCCTCAGTGCGTCTCCCTGCCTGTGTCATGTGCATAGCTTATTTAAAGAACTTGATAACAATGAGCCTCTCATGCAGTGTGTCATGAGTAGCAGCGCACAATCCCTTTAGCAGCCCTGTAATTTCAGACAGGCCTCAATTTAACACACCTTTGCAAACGTCTTGATACCATCGTAAATACATGTACTGATCTCTCATTAATTATTATATATATATATATATATCATTTTAAAATAACGCTCATTTTGTTGTTTTGGGATTTTTAAATATTCAGATTGGGTTTGACACGAGGGCTCATTAACATATTTAGCTGCTGTGTCCCTGCAAAAATAATTACAGGACAGGCCTGTATTATTATTACTATTATTATTATTATTATTATTATTGGGGCTTCTCCCTGACCCAGAGATGGATAGCCATGGTTTGTGGTGCTGGACAAACCGCTGTTATCACCCCTGATCGCCAGGTGCATCAGCTGAAAGGGGACAGCAGCTTCAACTGGAAACAATACACAAAGGAGCAAGGGAGGCATGTGATGCTGATCGGTATTTTTCACATACTGACGGAAATATAAATATAAATTCATGATAAATATATTATGTTTATTCTCTCACTTCAAGATTGTATAGTATGCTAAATGACAACATAACGTTATAGAATGGTTTTCTCAGTAATACCGTGGCGTAATACGCCTAATGATTCTCTTATAGTGTATTATTATCTGTTATTATTATTAGTAGTAATAGTAGTCGTCTATACATAGGGTTATGGGTTATTATTATTGTTATTATGACATTGCATTGTTGCTTCCGTGTAAAGGCAGGCGTCTGTAAAATACCAGCTTTCTCTCTGCTCTTCTTCCATGTGTGTGTTGTTATTGGACTGTGTACAGCGCACTGTACTCCTCTCCAATAGCATCCCAACCGCAGTGAATGGAGGAATGAAAAAAAGTGTAGCCATGCATGCAAGAGTGGGAGGATCCACTCGCTTCAATCTCGATCTCAGACTTTTGCAGCGACAGGGGCACAACCAGCCAACCGTCTCTGGTGCTTCCTAAGAGTTACTGCCGGGACATATACATACATACACCCTCCTATTTTTGGATTTGTTGTCAAGTTGTGTTGCTTCCTTTTTTTTTCTCCACTTTTTAACAAAACTGTTATTCCGTGAAGAAATCCCCAGCTTTCTCCCGTCGGCTCGAGGACGAGAAGTTAAAGCTTCCTCAGTCCTCAAATCATAACAGGTGACTGTTGAGAGAGGGTTTTTTTTTCCTCCACGTTTATTGCCTCCTTTCTGTCTCTCCACGCTTCTCCTGACGCGTCGGGGATATGTGTAGCCGGTTTACACTTGCCTCTGCCGTGTAACTATTGCGAGCATCAGAGTCGAGCTTTTTTTGCGTTCCATCTAAGCTCATTATTATTATTTTTTTTAGTTTTCCTCCTCCGAGCTGCAGGCTGTGCGTCAAGCGGAACTCGAGCGCTCTCAACAGGTCCCAGCCTCGTCCTCGCTCTGCCTCCAGACAGCGGTGTGTGCCCGGGATTCTCCTGTTCCTAGTTTGACCGTATTCTTATGGATATTGCAACAGGTCTGGTGTCACTGGAGCGCCTCTCCACCAGAGAACAGTCCGAGACGTGCATCATGCTGGACGGCATAAAAATCGAAGACCATCCCCTGCGATCGGGACAGGCCACGCTCGGAGTCATGCTCGGTGAGTCTTCTTCTTTTACCCTAAAAAAAACCCCCTCAGCGAATCACTTTGAACCATGCATGCACAGGTCAAACACAACACTGTTACTCCGGTCTGGATGCCATTAGCCTATACTGTGCATGCACACTGCTGTTTTGCTTACGATCATCAAAAGTTTATATTAATGCATAAAACAGGATTTAAAAAAAAATACAGATAATAATGAAAAATCGTATTTTTAATCTAATTGTGAAGGGAACCCATCACGTGCGACTCATGCATGTGCAATCGGTTTGAATGAGGTCATCTCCAACCCTTATATGTAGAAACAAATATGACATTACATCCTTTTAAACATGCTTTTTTTATTAGATTAAAAACACACACGTCAATTGATTTATTTACACTTTAGAGTTATTAATCAAAGAGCACAGCTCTTGACTCAGGCCTTCTCTCTTTTCTGACGTGTTTTCCAGGGACTGACTGTCACCATCCCTCCGTGTGTGAAGGATGCCAGCGTCCCATCTCCGACCGCTTCCTGATGAGAGTCAACGACTCCTCGTGGCACGAGGACTGTTTGCAATGCACCGTGTGTCAACAGCCCCTCACCACCAGCTGTTACTTCAGAGAAAGGAAACTTTACTGCAAACACGACTACCAACAGTAAGCACAATCCTCTGAGAAAAAAACAGAAAAAGCTCTGCTCTCCCACCTTTTTTCTGCGTTTCTTCAAATTGCTTCAATGGTATAAAAGAAGAAGAAGAATAAGAAAAAAAGACACCGTGATGGTTTTGGTTGGCCAGGAGGCCTTGTGTGTGTGTGTGTGTGTGTGTGTGTCAGTGTGTCAGTCACAGTGCCAAAATACAGTCGTTCAGCTAATGTGAAGTTCTATTTGAATTCTATAAGATTTAACAAACATATCTATCAACATGAATATGTATTAAACTGATGTCATTATTTGCTCTGCCGGAGTTCAAACGACCTGCTCGAGACTGCATTATAAAACCAACAAGAGCGAGTGGAATCAAATCTGAGCTTTTTGTGAGCTCGCGCAAACATTTTGAGTTATGAGTGAGATATGGAAATGTCCGCAGCAGAGTGCTCACACTGGCTGGTGGACGCTCGGCATTCGCGGTCATAGATTATTGTCATATGCTCGGCTTTCCTATTGTCACGGTGGCCCACGGTGGTGTTTCCACGCATTTGTGTCTGCGGAACGAGCGCATTTCTAACAAAAAGAGATGTGAGGCAACGCAGGCCCGATAATGTGCAGGCGGTTGCATCATGTGGCATTTCCTCCTCCTCATCAGCCGCTTCAGATTCATTCAAAATATGGAAAGTATAATTTCTGTGGGTTTCTTCATTGAGTGAGAATCCACCACGCACTGTAGATTTATTTTCCGATCGGCCCAAATTCACTTTTTTCTGTCGGTCTGATGCCTCGATTTGCCTGAAATATAATATTTTCAAATTTTGTTTTTATTTATTTTACGTTTCCAATCAGTCGTGTTTTTATTTTAATTTTATGCTATTTTTATTTAATTTCAGGTTATTTAATTTGTATTGGATATGACGTGTTTTTGCATCCGGTATATGAGACATGGCAACAATTTAACGGTTTAATGAAAAACAACTTGCGCTTTTTATGTCAGTTATACCTGCAAGCTAAATGCCCTAATGTAGATTTAATAAGTAGTAAGTTCATAATTAGAAGTTTCAGCATTTGCGCACGCGCGACTCAAGTATACACAAACACACGCACACAATTGTAAAGCCATTCAAAATGTAGTGTTACATTATCCAGTAAATTACAAGTTTCAGCGTTTTAAAAAAAGAAAGAAATCGAACTTATTTTGGGTTTAAATGCTGGAGTTTGGTTAAAACAGCAGACTACTGTGATTAAATCCAGATTGTTAATTTGATCATTTATTCTGTCAAATTCACAGCAGCACAATAAAAAGCAAACATACTTATTAATATTACAGCCACTAAAATAATAATTCCAGTAATTATAGATAAATTGAAATAATTTAGGAATTGCCCCCTTGTGCTTTTTGCTTTATAGGTAATTACAATACATTTTCACATTTTATATTGGGCCTGTGACAGGCAGTAGCATGGCAGCCATTAGCCATGGAGTAGGATAAATTAGTAAATTGAATTAGAAAATGATCACATAAAATCAGCAGCGATGGCAGATATAGTAACAGAAGTAGCAACAATGCTGTTTGGCCTGCGAGGACCCCGGGGTGCCCTGTGTTTCTCATGGCATGAGCGCTTTTCATGCTTGTCACTACATTTTCAGCTTTTTGTGTCCGGCCTTTTTAACAATTCTACTTCGATTACCAGGACATTATGTCTCTCTGCTAGATACCTCGCGAGCAACAAAGAGTTACATCTATAGCAGTGCGTGCCATTCATCCAGCTTTGTGACGGCAGTGTAGTCGCCTGATAACAATGGAAAATTCATAGCAGTAACTCTGGGATACCAGACCAGAGCCACGACGTCACGGCTCAGAGGTGGCTGCAAGCTGAGACTGTCCGGCAGGGAGAAGGATCTCTTTCTCATGCCTGTTATACAGCGCTCTCCATTTGTAGTTTTTTTTTGTGTGTAAAGAGAAGAAGACAGACATAAACACACACAGGAAGATCTCTTTTGCCTCCAAATGATACTCTTTCCTGGCATTTAGTTTGTGATGTGCCTTTGAAGCACCATATTTGGTGCACAGCTGACCATTTCCCCCGTTTCTGTGCTTCACTCTGAATGCTGTGAGCTTGTGTGGCAAGTCCGCTCACCCCAGCCAAACACAGCAACCTGCTGGGCAACGTCCTGCTCTCACACACTGTTATTCATCACATCTTTTAATTCTTCACCCTCCTTCCCGCACTTATCTTTTCTTAAAAAATGTTTACCCCTCCCAGGTTAAATGCTAGCTGGAGGGTCCCTTATCACATAGACAGAAGTAATCTTTTTTTTTGTTTATTCTATGTGCATTGATGGGAATTGGCACCTTTTTGACTTTTATGACACCCATTTAAGATACATTTGTCAGCCCACAAACTGCTATGGGCTGTGTAGAGAGCTCCTTCCCTTACAGAGGTCTTCGTGCCTAATTACATTCCTATAGCAACTGATTCATGCCCCGTAATCAGCTCTCACTAGCTATAATAAATCAAGGAATTGGCAAGCAGTCTTATTTCTGCACCTTTGGAACAGGTTTAAGTGCAGACGGGGGAAAACAATTGTGTACTGTGTTATTAAAACTCCCACCAACACAGTTCAACACATCTTGCTCCATATAGTGCAATTATATAGTAACAAGATTGGATTATATTGGCCTCTTTTTATGCCAAGCAGCTGCCCTGTATTTATCGTCCCTGTCTGGATACAAAATTTGTGAATAAGGAATATTTTTGATGGGTTTTAAGATGCAGGGTCCGAAACAATCCCACACGTACAGATTGTCGTGCACGTTTTCCAGAGGAGGGGAAATAGAATTTGATATATTGCAGAGGAGGAGAAATACAGCAGTATAGCGCTGCCTTTTGCAAGAATATTTCAGAAGGAGTTTGATAGAATTGAAGGCAAAAAGGCAGAGCTGTCAGTTGGACGGGAGCCATAGCCGCAGAGGAGGAACAAGCTTGAACGAGACGGGCGGTATGTAAAAGGTAGAGTGGAATTACACCACCCCGAGAGAGTTTGTTGTGCCCTGGTGTTTGGAGGTCAATTATACATCATTAGGAGGAGGGAGATCTTTTCCCCAAGGGAGACCTTTCCTCTAACCGAGCAGATGCTTTGAAAGGAGCCATGTAATAAGGCCTATCACTTGACCAAAGTGTTGGACAACACCCCTGTAATGGACTGACTTGTTAGAAACTGCCATGGGCTCCATCTACAAAACATAACATTAACTGAACTGTATTTTACACCACGCTGTCTGCTTCTGGGTCCTGCTGATGTCTAAACTTAGCATTTCACCGTGGATTTTTTTTCTTCTTCTCCTTGCTCTGTAAACTTTTACTTTCTTGCAAAATGTTATTTTAGATACATCGGCATGCAGATTTTTTTCCCAAATTTTCAAATTCACGTGCTGTAAGCAAAATTAAATTCAGGTCACGGTAGTAGTAGAAAAACACAGCGGTGATGAGGCCATAAAAGCAGAGCTCCCAGAACCTGTCTCACCTCCCATGTACGCTGGACGATCCCCCGGTGTGCTGAGAGGTGCTTTTTTAGAAATGTTTGGAGTGCCCTCCTGTGAAATTGTTGTTTTTTAATTAGCCGTGCTTGGGACTCTGCAGCAGTGTGTGCCGGATAGATGCTGACGGCTGGGTTTCTGTGTTAGCTCACCGAGTGTGTGTTTTACTCACTCTAGGGCACTCCCGCGTGGCCTGGCACTTTGTGAACGCTCATACGCACACCCCCAAAAAAAAAAAAAAACCCAACTAGGATGTACTTTGTGTTGTCAACCCAGCTGGGTAGTTTTGCAGTTAATTAAAGACTGTCCTCAGTTCTTCTAAAGTATTTCAGGAGCAGCTCTGATATGCGGGTGCACGTTTCTTTGTGCAAGCCATTCTAACTTTCTGCTATACTTTTTCTTTTTCTTTTTTTAATTTCTCCCTAAAAAGGATAAAAATGTGTCTTTAGCCACTGCTCTTGGGTAAATAAAAGAAGGACCTCTACAGAGAGACAAATCTAATGTTAGAAACACTAAGCCAGATAATATTGCTTCAGCTTGCTGGGGTTTTTAGTGCTCGGCAAGGAGCTAGCTGAAGCTGGCCCCGTTCCTCTGTAAGGAAGTATTGGGTTTTATGTCAACATGGCTTGGCCTGTCCCAGCAGCATACTAGGATGCATCATCTGTCATCTCATGGTTTGCTAACTGTACCCCCCCCACCCCACCCCAGCATATTTAGACCCGTTAAAGGACCTGTTGGAGTGATATTTATTTGCATCACTTGCTACAACTTGAATTCTCAGTTTTTTGTCCTTTCCGGTTCCCACAAATAGCTCTTGAGTGATAAATATTTGATTTCAGCGTATCGTTTTACATGAACCCTTGTATATATGGATTGTGCTGTTATAAATTGTGCACCGGCTACATCTATGCAAGCTTCAATAGCCTTCTCTTTATATTTACTTCATGTTTTTGTGAGGCTGTCAGTAAAGTAAAGTATTACGTTATGAAATCGTGGGGATTTCATAAATGTTTGTATTTTAAAGGCATTTCTGTGTTTTAGTAGAAATGAGTGGGAGCAGTATGAGTGTGTGTGTGTGTGTGTGTGTGTGTGGAGCTATAAGCATACTAGTGTGTATGACTGTGTATGTAGCAGCAGCTGGAACACAAAGCACTTTGCAGGATGCTCTGGGAAGCCACAGAGGCTCAGCCACGGTAATGCCCATCACCACTTTAGAGGCCAGACTGGTGGCGAGGGATGTGGAAAGAGGTCTCTGTGGCTTTGTGTGGGGGAGCTGTAGTGCAGGGGAGGAGAAGGATCTGCAGAGGGATCTGCCTGGTGTGCTCACATTACACTGGATGATAGCAGAGGGGTGCAGAGGAACTCAAGCATGCAATTTGTTGGTAGCCACAATTTAACCTCATCTCCTAAAGCCGGCTGTTAGGCAGCCAGTGGGACATGTCAGTCAATCGGGAATGCTAATCAGTG